CACACACACACACACACACACACACACACACACACACACACACTTTCCCACCTCATATCTATAATGTCTTGGGCCATATAGATTTTGACTCATTTTATTATTTTTTTAATTTATTTTTGGTTTTTCGAGACAGGGTTTCTCTGTGTAGCTTTGCGCCTTTCCTGGATCTTGCTCTGTAAACCAGGCTGGCCTCAAACTCACAAAGATCCACCTGCCTCTGCCTTCGAATGCTGGGATTAAAGGCGTGCGCCACCACCGCCCGGCGATTTTGACTCATTTTAAAGTCATGTAACCCAGTTACTCAAGAGGCCAAGGCAAAAGGATGGTTAAGTTCCAGTGTAGGCTACACAGTGAAACCTTTTCTCAATCTCAATCTCTTTCTGTCTCCGTCTTATATACATATCTAAAAAAAAGCTACAGAAGTTTTGGGATAAGACCACTTAATTCTGAGCCGGGTGGTGGTGGTGCACACCTTTAGCCTCAGCTCTTGGGAGGCAGAGTTAGGTGGATCTCCCGAGTTTGAGGCTAGCCTGGTCTACAGAGAGAGTTCCAGGACATCCAGGGCTACACAAAGAAACCCTGTCTCAAAAAACCAAAACCGCTGGGCGGTGGTGACACACGCCTTTAATCCCAGCACTCAGGAGGCAGAGGCAGGAAGATCTCTTTGAGTTCGAGGCCAGCCTGGTCTACAAAGTGAGTTCCAGGTAAAGCACAAAACTACACAGAGAAACCCTGTCTCGAAAAACCAAAAAAAAACAAAAACCAACCAAACAAAAACACCCCAAAACAAACAAACCCACTAATTCTGGCATACCCTTTTAATCCTAGCACATTGGTAGGCAGACGTAGGCGTATCTCTTCTCTGAGTTCAAGACCAGCCAAGGCTGCATAGTGAGATTCTATCTCAAACAAAACAAGTAAAACTTTCCAATCCCTAGAAATTATGTGAAAAACAGCACTACATAAATGTTAATTCACTTATGAGAAGTTACTAAAAAATGGGTGTGCAAAACTAACAATGGTTGAACTGAAGTGATAGCATTTTGTTTGAGCCTAGAACTCAGGAGGCAAAGGGAGGAAGATTAGGAGTTTGAGGCCAACCTGGTCTACACAGTGAGTGTGAGGTCAGCCAGAGCTACAGAGAGATCTGGTCATAAAACAAGAGGAAAACCAACAAAACCACCACGCAAATATACTGACACACAATACAGCAGCACATAGCCCTGACTGACTGCAGGGAGAAGTCAGGCCAGCGCAACAACTTACCTTCCCTTCGGTAACCATCCGTAGAGTATCAATCAATCTCAGCTTGACTGGGAGGTCTGTGATCTCCTCTACATAAGTACAGCACTGTTGAACCATTTTTGCAACAGCCTAATAAAATACAATAAACCACTCATAATCAAAATTCATTCTTCAAACAGAAAAAAAAGTTTTGTTTGTTTTGAGAAAGGGTCTCTCTATGTGTTTCTGGCTAGTCTGGAACTCTCTATGTAGACTAGGCTAGCCTGAAACTCCCAGAGAGCCATCTGTCTGCAGCCCTCCTGATGCTGGGATTAAAGGCATGTGACACCATGCCCAGCTTGGGGGAAAAAAATTCCACAGACAGATCCCAGTAGAATTTCAAATCACCTCTAGAATATAATCAGAAAATTTGTATGTTGTGGGAGCCTACAAAGGTTTCTTAGTGAGCTCTGAGCTTGCTTTACACAGCAGGCCTGCATCAGGGGATGGTCTGCACTTGGCTGTGCTGGGGGAGGTCTTTGGCTCCACCCCTTGGCGTTCCTTTAAAGCCCTTTAGAAGAGACAGAAGGGGCTGGTGGGTTCTGACCCAGGCCCTCCCGAGGTGATCCTGTGTTTCTATCTGTCTCTCTCCCTCTATATTTCTATCTAAATATTTCTCTCCTCCCTGCTCAAGAGTACCCTGAGGGAAAAAGTGGAGGCAGGTCTCCCACGTAGGTTACACAAATTTTCAATGAATTCAGAGATTACTTTCCTAAAAGTCCTTATTGAAATGCAAATACACTGTTTAGAAAATTTTTATTTCTATTAGTTATGCGTGTGAGTTTGTGTGCCATGGCTCACAGGTGGAGGTCTGAAGACAGCTTGCAGGAGTCAGCTCCTCCTTCTACTATGTGGGTCTTGGGGTCAGGCCTCACAGCAGGGGCCTTTACCCACTCAGTCATTTCTTCAGCCCAGTCTTTTGTGGTTTTAAAGCCTCAGGAACTCACTTGTTTTAACTGACTCCGCCGTTTTGACAAAAGCATAATATTTTCATTAAGTAAGTCCCATTCTTTAGCCTCATAACACATTTTTACTACTGCAACCAAGATGCGGGACGTGGACACCATATCAGAGGCCTGCAAGGAAGAAAAGACATCTGAAGTAAACAGGGCAGCCTCCAATCAATCCCTGGTAAAAGCAGTCTGCATTACGATCTACTCACAGTTCGGGTCTGCTTTTCTAGAGAGAGAAGGGTTTCAATGACTTCTTGAAGCCGTCCTTCCTGAAACAAGAGAAAGCAATGAACAATGAAAGCATCGGCAACACAGACCAGCATCTGACCTAAGCCTCTGGGAAAGTGAAATCAATGTCTCTCCGTTTGTGAAAAGCTTGCTTCCCCAGGGGAGTCTTTAAGTTAGGGATTCCCTACTCAGGACCCTGCGTGTGTGTGTGTGTGTGTGTGTGTGTGTGTGTGTGTGTGTGTGTGTGTGTGTGTGTGTGTACACATTTATCTAGTTAAGTGTTCTACTACTGAGTTACATTCCAGCACAGTACATAAGTTTTTTCTTTTGTTTCCCCTTCTTTCTCTATTTATTTATTTATAGTTTTCCAAAACAGGGTTTCTGTGTACCTTGGCTGTCCTGGAACTTGCTCTTTAGACCAGGCTGGCCTTGAACTCACAGAGATTGCCTATCTCTACCATCGGAGTGCTGGGATTAAATAGGCATGCACCACCATCACCTGGCTATGTATTTATTTGTTTGTTTGATTGTTTTGGGGGGTAGGGTCTCGTGTAGTCCAAGCTGGGACTCAAATTTCCTTGGTAGCCAAGGATGACCTTGATTTCTATTCCCTTGCTTCCACAATTACAGGTACACATAACCACATCTGGTTTATATGGTGCTAGGGGCAGAACTAAGTGCCCCAGATGTGAGGCAAGCACTCTACCAACTGAGCTACAACCCCAGACCCACAAGCTTTTTTTTTTTTTTTTTTAAGATGTAAAGAAGAGCCAGGCAGCAATGGCACACGCCTTTAATCCCAGCACTATGGAGGCAGAACCAGGTGGATCTCTGTGAGCTCGAGGCCAGCCTGGTCTACAGAGCGAGCTCCAGGAAACTACACAGAGAAACCCTGTCTCAAAACACTCCCCTCAACCCCCACACACAAAAAAAAGATGTAAAGAAGCACAAGAAAAATCGAGCCTGTAACTACAATGATGTGTCATCTGAGAAAACCCCCGAGTCTCTGCTTTGCATTCTAATTTATCATCTCAGAGTGGTGATTCCTGTTTATCTCGTTCTGTACAGAACTCTTAGCTGGTAGGATACTCAATAGTCCGAACAGAAGAATAAATGTTTTGAAGAAAACACACACAAGCTAGCCTGAAAGTCATTCTCTTAAGGAGAGGCTCATCCAGACTACATATACCCTGTTGAGAGAGGAGAGGAGGGAAAGTAAGCAAGACAGACAAGAGGCAGAGCAGAGAGGGAAGCAGGCAGAGTAGAGAGAATTCAAGTCGGAGGCTAGCGTGGGCAATTTAGCAAGACCTTGTCTCAAAGTGAAGAAGGGCCAGGGGTGTGGCTTAGTGGCAGAATCATTCTCTGACATGCCCAAGGCCCTGGGTTTGTGCCCTTAGCACCCCACCCACTGTTTTTCTAGGGACAGTCATAGACAATTCATAAATGTTGCCCCCTTCCCCACGCCCATTTAACAGCTTTTATGACCCATGAATTTAGGTCATAGTTAATGTTTGGATTTTGCCGTATTTTCCAAGATAACCTATAAAACACACACACACACACACACACACACACACACACACACACACACACACACAATTTTTGCTGAACGTCTGGCTGCTGGGCTAGGAATTGACCACAGGCCTTGTATATGTCAAGCACACATTTTACTATTGAACTACAGTCCCAGTCAAACCACACAGCACAGATTACAGACTGTTCAGACTTGATTAAAAACTGGAACATGAGGGGGCTGGAGAGATGGCTCAGAGGTTAAGAGCACTGACTGCTCTTCCAGAGGTCCTGAGTTCAATTCCCAGCAACCGCATGGTGGCTCACAACCATCTGTAATGAGATCTGGTGCCCTCTTCTGGCCTGTAGGCATACATGCAGGCAGAACACTGTATACATAATAAATAAATAAATCTTTTTTAAAAAAAGCTGGAACATGAATATAACAGTTTTATTGTTTTTTTTTTTTTTTTTTTTTTTTGGGCGGGGGAGCTTTTCGAGACAGGGTTTTTCTGTGTAGTTTTAGTGCCTGTCCTGGAGCTTGCTCTGTAGACCAGGCTGGCCTCGAACTCACAGAGATCCGCCTGGCTCTGCCTCCATAGTGCTGGGATTAATGGCGTGTGCCACCGCCACCCAGCAAATAACATGTTTTAACAATGCTTTCTAAGCAAAAGGGAGCTCCAGTTCAGAGAGCCCCCATGAACCCCATGTTCACCATGGGGGGCTGAATGGTCACCAGGGGGGAAAACAATGGACAAACCTGGAAGGCTAGTAAGTCACAAAAGTCAAGAATCAGTGCTAGGAAGTCAGCTGCAAATTTGACTGTCACCAAGACCAGAAGTTTAAGGGACTTGATCGGTCACAGAAATATCAGCAGAACCAGAGCCCAGGCTCTTCCCATCCTGGTCCCCCAATCCTTCTACCACAGCACACTGCTTCCCTGTGCTCTGATGAATGTGCTTTGCTCAAAGTACTCTCTATAGGAAACGAGTTAGTATATGAGAACAAAGTAGGAAAAAGAAGTTAAAATGCCAAACATCCTTTATTCACTAAGATGGCTGTCAGTGTCATCAACTGGAGTGTAGAAGAATACATGGCACTCTAATTCAGAAGCAGGACACCAAGAAACTGCACCCTACATGGGAGGGAGTCACACTGTCATAGACATCAAAGGCCATCTTCTCAGAAAGGAGTTCTTGGCTTTCTGAAAAATCTCTGAAAAAGTGCTCTCTGAAATCACCCGTCACTCAGCACCTCATTTAATACTGGCCCCACCAGCTCTGCTTTGCAATGACTCTGAACTATATTCTAACGTTTGTTTACTGTCTTTGTAACCTCACTGAAATTTACACTCTGGCCTTGCTGTTTATCATGGTAGTTCAACGGGAAGCTTCATTAGCCAAACATGTACTATTGCTTCTATAGATACCTTTGTTGCTTTTTAAGACAGAGTCTCACTCTGTAGACCAGGCTATCCTCAAACCTGCAATAATCCTCTTGCTTTGGCTTCCTTAGGCCAAGCTTACAGGTGAGAGCCATCAATCTTAGTGTCTTAGTTACTGTTCTATTACTGTGAAGAGATACCATGACCAAGGCAATGATGGTTTTTTTTTTTTTTTTTAAGAAAAGCCCTTTACAGTCCAGGTCTTTTATTTCTTTTTGTACATTAGGCCATGAATTTGTATGGAATGGGCTCCAGCAGCTCAGGCTCCTTCCCGTTAGTCCTCACAAAGTGTGCTTCTCTGGGTGGGGCGGGCTAGCACTTCAGCTGCACCCAGGTGCCCTTCTCCTTGGCTTCCTTTTTCTTCTGGTCGTTCTCCTTCACCCGCTTCAGGAAGCTGTCTCGGCTCTTAGAGTGCTTGATGTGCTCAATCCGCACGTTGATTCTCTTGGCAAGGATCTTGCCCTTAACTTGCTTGTTTACAATGATGCCCACGGCATGCTGGGTGACACTGTAGACTCTTGCGGTTTTGCCATGGTAACACTTATGAGGCATTCCTTTTTGAACAGTGCCCATTCCCTTGATGTCTACAATATCACCTTTCTTGTAGATTCGCATGTAAGTAGCCAAAGGAACAACTCCTTGTTTCCTAAAAGGCCTGGAGAACATATAGCGGGTCCCCCTCCTCTTTCCCTTTGCGTTCGTCATTTTGGCGAGTTACTGGAAGATGGCTGCCGCGGCCAAAAGCTTGTTTTTGTTTTTTGAGACAGGGTTTCTCCGTGTAGTTTTGGAGCCTGTCCTGGAACTCACTCTGTAGACCACGCTGGCCTTGAACTCACAGAGATCCACCAGCCTCTGCCTCCCAAGTGCTGGGATTAAGGGTGTGCGCCATGACCGCCCAGCCTACCAAAGCAACTCTTCTGAGAGAAAGCATTTAATTGTGGCTTGCTTACAGTTTTAGGGGTATAGTTCATTATCATCACAGTAGGGAGCATAATGGCAATCAAGCAGGTACTGAAGCAGTAGCTGAGAGATACATCCTGATCCACAGGCAGAGAGAGAGACCCTGGGTTTGGAAATGGCTTTTTGAAACCTCAAAGCTCACCCCAGTAACACTCTTTCTCCAACAAGGCCACACCCCCAATCCTTCTAATTCTTTCAACTAGGTCCAGTCCCTGGTAACTAAACATTCCAATATATGCACCTATGGGGACCAGTCTTATTCAAACTGCTTGAAGGTAACTTTTCATATCTTATATAGTAGTGACTAGTGTACATTTCCTACCTACCAAGTGGGCTCTGAGTTGCCCTAGGCCTGGACCCTTGTTTAATTGTAGCTTCCTTTATTTCAAAACTTGTACATGACATGTTAAAACCATTCAGAAGATCTTAAGGGCTTACAATTCTTGACTGTCACAATAAGGAGGATGTGACAAGTTAGTATGGATGCCAAGTAGGTACTGTTTGAGGGCCATTACATCAACTTCATTAAATACAACTTCCTTACATAAAACTACCTCATTTCCTCCTCCCACTTTTCCATGTTCAACCCATGACCACCACCTTCCTCCTCTCTGTCTGTTCACACAGCTCCTGGAATGTCACCTCTTCCAGGCAGTTTCTCAACTCCAAGGGAGTAAGATGGTGCCAGCCATCCAGCACCAGGGTGTCAGAACATCGAACTGTATGACTTGTTTTCCTCCCTTAGAAATGCTCATAGATAAGGTCATGTTTACAGAGTTTGCTTAATGTCAGTAAGTGCTGGGCATCAGTAGGTTCTGTAAGTTTGCCTTCATTAACCTGAGAGAGCCAACTGTGGTGATGTTTTATCTGTGTCTCCCAATAAAATTTATCCGAGGATCAGATAAAATATCACCATAGCTAATCTGTTAACAGTTTGCTGAACAACCTAAACAAGGAACTAATACAAAGTCACCACAACAGCTGAATTTTAAAGCCTTATAGGATCTATTTTTTAAAGGGCTCTCTTGTTTAAACTTAATCATTAAGCTGTTCTATATCTCATGCACTTTTTATTGCTAATATTCACTTAGGAAGCAGCTGCAGGTAACTGCAAAAAATAAAAAATAAAAAAAAAGAAAGAAAGAAAACAAAGTCTGGAGGGGCAGGACAAAGACTATAAACTACAATGTAAGACTAATGTAAACAGCCTCTAACTAACCATGAGTCCAGCACCCACAGTCAACCAGAAAGTCCTCTGCACTCTCAACCGCTGAACTGCTAATATCTGCAGCTCAGAGGTCCCTTCAGACTGAGTTAACACAAGGTGAGGAGACAACTTTTATCATCTCATCATCCTGCCTCTGGGTCCTCATGTGCCATTACAGAAGCATCAGAACGAAATAGGTATGTGCAGGCTGTGGAGCCAGACTGCTGGTTCTACACTTTAGTCTTAGCACTGTATGACCCCGGGAAAAACAAAGTACTCTACAACAAATACCCTACAACTCTGACCCTCATCTTCTCTCTTAGGGTTCATGTAAGATTAAATCACTAGCTATAAAGACAAGCCCACAACATAGTGTGTACATCTCGATCATCACAGCTGACATCTTCATAGCACTGACAGCAACATCAGCTGCTATTGCTAGGTGTGTTAGGATGGAAATACAAAATTGTTCTCCATCATTCCTGCAGGAGATCCGAAATGGAACAACCAAGACTGGCAAGTTTACTGCTCTGGACTTCAGTCTGCCTTTCTCCCACCCCACAAGACAGGGTTTCTCTGTGTAGCCTTGGCTGTCCTGTCCTGGCTGCAGTCCAGGCTGGCCTTGAACTCATAGAGATCCACCTGCCTCTGCCTCATGAGTGTTGGGATTAAAGGCATGCACCACCATCTGGCCAGTCTGCCCTTTTAAGGCTTTTGCTAAATGTGTTTTTTTCATCAGATATATTTATATTCCTCTTCCTAATAAGATTTAAAAAATTTTAAACATTTTTATTTATGTGTATATGTGTCACATGTGTATGGGTGCCTTTGGAAAAGAGTGTTGGGATTCCCTGGAGCGAGCCACCTAACCAGGGTGTTGGAAAGTGATTTCAGATCTTCTAGAAGAACAGTTAATGCTCCTAACTGCTGAGCCATTTCTCCAGCCCCACAGCTGATACATTCTCATCAAGTATCTACACCCACAATTTCTACCTTCAAATTCCTTTTACATTTGAAATAAACAATATCTGAAGGAAATTAAGTGCAGAACTGATGGCCCTTTAAACAGGAAATGAGCTACAGCAAAAACTGATGACTATTCTTGTTGCCAGGCGACCTGAGCTTGATCAGCAAGATAAACCACTGAACTTTAAGTCTTCTCACAAACAAAAAGAACAAAACTTTCTTCATAGTTATTGAGGTCAAAATAAAAATAAAACAGCATATGCTAAAATGTCCCATACATTCCAGAGTAGAACTGTAACATTAAAGGCTCAGTGGCAAGAGTACTTGCCTAACATGTAGGTCCCAGGATTTAATCCCCAGCCCTGGAAAGGGGCAGGGAGGAAAAAAACATGTTAAAAACCTTAAAAGAGCTGGGCAGTGGTGGTACATGCCTTTAATCCCAGCACTCAGGAGGCAGAGGCAGAGGCAGGCAAATCTCTGTGAGTTCAAGGCCAGCCTGGTCTACAGAGTGAGTTCCAGGACAGCCAAGGCTGCACAAAGAAACTCTGTCTTGGAAAAACTAAACAACAACAAAAACATTAAAAGGGCTGGAGGACAGCTCAGTGGTACAGTGCTTGCCTAGCACATCTTGGGTTCAATCTCTAGCAACACACACACACACACACACACACACACACACACACACAGAGAGAGAGAGAGAGAGAGAGAGAGAGAGAGAGAGAGAGAGAGAGAGAGAGAGAGAGAGACTGTCTAGAAAAAAAGAGCAAAGAATAAAATGCACAAGTGTTTAAAGAGATCTAAAACATTAACCAGGATTGAGAAAAATCTAAAAGTTAAAACTATGTTCTGGAAAAAAAGTATATCCTCCTGCCTCACAGTCTCCTTTTCTGATCCATAAACAAAAACCAGCACAACTCCCACACATACCTTGCTTCAACTGACAGTCTTTAAAAGCTAAACACACACACAAACCTCCAGAATCCAAATGTTTTACATTCTAACTAGTTATATAGACCCAGAGAGTCTTTGTTCTGACCACATCCATTACTCATCAACTGCCCAGGAAGGCATCTGGCACTTGAGTTTGCAACTGTGGCATACAGACTAGGTGGCCTTTTCTTGGGCAACACTGTCTACATTCCTCTTCCAAACACTGGGATCGCAGCTGTGAGCTACCACCGCTAGTGCAGTTGTACTTTCTACAGCAAATGGTGTCTATCCCTTCTACAAACACCACGGTTCCGGTAACCTCAAAGGGTGCGTTCGGGAGATGACTCTGGCCTACAGGAATGTTTCCTTAATTCTTCAGCTCATCGGTTCAAATAGCATTTTAAGACAGATTAGCATCCAGTTCCTAAACATTAAAATATTTCACATAAAAATCCATACTCCTGGGGCTGGAAAGATGGTTCAGCAGTTAAGAACACTGGTTGCTCTTCCAGAAGACCTAGGTTTGAGTCCCAGCACAAATATGGGGGGGGGGGGGGTGTCCTCACAATGGGTGTACAAACATATATGCAGGCAAAACAATCATACATTTAAAAAAAAAAAAACCCTAAAATTCTTATTCCTGGTTTCCATTCAAATCAGCACTGTCAATCAGCTTTCTGAATATACTGCATTCTTACTTATGTATTAATAAGCTCTTTAGGACCAAACAAACAACCCTTTGTGTCAAGTGACTTTCAACACTAACTGTAGAAGGAATTTAAGGAGGCGTAATCCTTAGCAATAACCAACAACATATCTAAAGAGCAAAGCTAGTTTTGAATCCCTGATTCTGGCTATTACTAACTATAACCTTAGGCAAAATACTTTCAGTCCTGCCTTCTTTACGTACAAAATGATATAAAACGTTGCCTGACACATAGCACAGAGTGTGGAATTGTTTGGGTCAAGGTATGTTCTTATTCTATGATAGGGAGGTTTGATGGTGTAGCTCAATGGCAGAGCATTTGCCTAGTATGTGCATGACCCCGAGTTCGATCCCTAGCGCCACAGAACATGTTCATTATCTGCCCTCTCAATTTCTGTACTTTTAACACCCACTTGTCTTTCCTATACCGTCCTCTCTAGAAACGACTCTTCTGTATCTCCATTTTATTTAGTCTTACTCAAACCCAACACAAATGCCAGCTTCTCTCCCGTAAGAACAGCTTCCTTCTGTGTTCCAGTAACTCTCACTTGGATGGCTCATACTTGGGGTCCTGGGTCCATTACATTTGTACTACCACTTTCCAGGTTCACCTTTGCCAAAGACCAGGCACACTGCCATGATTTATAAGCGATTTAAGGTCGTAAATTGATTGGGCCACCGTAATATTAAAACCAAACTCTCTGATGCAGCCTGAACCTTGAGAGCCGACTAAATCAAACGTTACTTAGCGTCCCAACAGACGGCAGGCACTAAAACTGGACGTCAAGTTCGATGCAAAAGAGGTGACCATCTATCTCGGGCTTGGGGAGCTTCGGGTTGCGGGGACTCCCGAGCGGACAGACCCGGGGTCTCCCACTCAAGCAGGCCCAACCCGGGCTAGCAAGGCATCAGGGATGCGCGCTCCAGCTCACAGGCCCCCTGAGGCCTAGGGCAGGCTCCACGCCGTGACTCAGCCCCTGGCG